GAAAGGTCTTAAGAGTTTGAATCTTCTTAATTACAACTTTTTTGGAAACATAATAAATATGAGATTAAAAGCTAAAAACTAGGAAAGTGTGTGTAACAAGATTTGAACCCTAGACCTCCCCTTTGAAAAGCAAGGATCTAACCAACTCTACCTGGGGATATTTGTATCTTTATTGCAGTTTCAAAATATATATGGTGGCACACAACAAATTAATACGGTGACACTTTTCACATTCTATACTTTTTTACAATGTGACGGAGGAATGAGACGGTGGCACGTGCCACTGTTGGCGCTAGGTCCGCCCATGGTATAAGGTGGTCTTATGGGGTACAATCTTTTGATAGCTTTTATTACTCTCAAGAACAATTTTACATGCTAAAAACAGTGAAGTACCTCAAGTTAAGCTAACTCGAACAGGTTAGAATACTTCTAAATTTAAGGCGTAAACCGTAGAACCGGTTACACGAAACTGCTACTTGTAACACTTATGCTGCCGATGTAGTTTCGAACGATTTTCTCCTAACGAGTAAGCACGTAATCTTCGAAGGATGTGTGCTCGTGTTATCAGGACTGCATAGCACGAAATCGGGCCTATGGAGCGTCAGATTCAGCCGATCTTCCCCCATAACGATCGCGGTTGCATCAAGCAAAACGTGCCACGAGCTTCTATGGGCTTCCGATACCCAATGCATCGAGTAATTGGTCCCGTTTACGGTTGCGGGATAAGAAAACAGCCCTTTCGGGCAGTGTTTGCTTTTCCTTCTAAAGTATTGGCTGAGTTGTGACCCTTTGATCCTTAGGTCTAACCATGATTCGGGTGCCGATATCACTTTCGAATCTTTGTATCCCGCAAACGCCCTTATGTAATCGTGTTCTTCGTTCACAATCGTCATGTAGAAATTCCCACGGAAAAACGGGTAGCTTTCACCCACCAACATCATGGCGTCCCGGTAGCTTGAAACAAAGAGGACGAGATACTCATTATCGGGTAATCCACAGTGCTTTAAGACTTTGTTTCGTGCTTGAATTTCTGGTATCGAGATGAAGCTTCCGAGGTACGAGGATTTCTTGGTGAGGATATCGAGCAATCTCGATGGCTCGAGCTCGATTCTCACGAGATCGTGAAAGTTGCTTCCGGAAGTTTCCCGAAACACCCCTCGTGGGGATTTCCGCTTGTCGTCGGCCAGTGAAGGCTCCGAAGGCTCTTCTTTGACGCAAAGCTCGTAAAGGTCGGTTTTGTCTTTTCCTTCAACCAACGCGTTCGAATACTCCGGGTATTTTGCGACAACGTATTGTTCGACGTATTGCATTTCGGCAGGCGTAATCGGGCCCGACCATCTGAGGTCTATGCCGTGAAGCGTCGATATGGCTTCCGCTATGATGTGAGCCGGTATCACCCTATGCGCTCGCTGTTATTCGAATACATCATTAGATACATCATCCTTAATATCATCAAAAAATCTTGAATTTAAGAACCTTAAACATTAAACGTACCTTAACGATCATACTGTTGGGTCTTCCGTTTTCCGTCATCTTGAAAAGGGATTTCACCATATCGCGCTCCGGTTTTCCCTGGTCAATGTCCAGTTTTCCGGTCAGTTAACGTAATTTCAAGTTTTAAACACAAAAAAAATTGTTAAAGTTGGTACCTTTGGTCTTGTTTGGATGGTCCTAGATTCTTCGTTGTTCATTCCCATTCGAAACACCCAAGATTAAGGTCTTCGATCGATGAGAATAAGATGTATGTATCGAAAAACCCGAAATAAAACTAGAATCGGTTTGGAATCTGTAAAGGAAGTTGTTACTCTTATACTTGTAGCAATCATAGGAAAGGAAGGAAGTTGCTAAGAAACATGATTTATGAATAAGAGACTGAGTCAAGAGTTGAGCCAAAATCCTACTCATTTCTTGTTTTCTGATAGGGATTTAAACTATAAATAATGTTTATGCATCTGGGGTTTGTTTATACTTAGTTTTCCACATCCTCATTTGGCTCAGTGAGTTGTCCCTTGACTCGGTGAGTTAACCGGGTGTAGTTTATGTTTAGTGTACATACTTGTTGGTTGTTTTGCTTTTAATTTGAGTAAATTACAAATTTGGTTTCTATCGTTTAAACTTTCTACTCATAATGGTTCCAAAATCGAATAAATACGAATATGAGGGTCGTGGTTTACCTTTTCGTACCTATTAAATCCTTACCTTTAACATCTGTTTTCTTTTTCCTTAAAGAAGGGTCACCGATGGAGGATGTGAGAACTAGTCACCAAGGTCGGGTTTTTCAGTTATAGAGTAAATTACGGATTGGGTCCCTATGGTTAAAGACCAAATTAAGGGTAAAAACTAAAAAGACTAAAGTGCCCCCTTATTTAATTGGAAGATATGGCTTGACTCAGTGAGTTGTGATCGAGTCACAATAACCTATCGACCAATTAGATGCCGACAAGTGTCACAATCTGCGTATAAACAACCGAGTTAGAACTCAGAAGTGAGTTGGGAGTTTGACTCGGAACCTTGGTTGTGGATCCGCATTGGGGTTAAGTTCACACTTTGGACTTCCGCCAATACAATTTGAGGATTTAATATAGTTAATTAACCCACTAATCATATTTAATTAAGAAACGTCACCCTTTTAAATTAAAAAAATAAAAACAGAAAACGACCCTGTTCCCCTTTTTAGGTATGAATAAAGATTAATAAACAACTTTTTCATTTATAGACCAAAATAAATACACAATAGTTGGTTATAATTTTAATTTAACAGATGAATTAATAAATACGAAGGTTGATATTATTACAAAAAATAAATACATAACAAGTATTTGAGTTTGATCCTAATTAATTAAAAATAGTAAACAATTAGTATTAAACGAACCGATTTGACAAATATTTGATTCAAAGGCTCGATAATAGCATACGTCATGAATGAATTGTCTTGAAATAATTCGGTAATGGTACGTTGAGTTGGTTTGTTTCAAAAATAAAATTTAATGACACCATGCTTCTGTACTGCTTACGGAGTTGGTATGTTTCAAAAATAAAATTTAATGACACCATGCTTCCGTATTGCTTATGGATAGTTTCTTTGAGAACAAAAACGATGGGTGAAGTAATAACGACAAAGGTTAAAACGTTTTGCTTAATGACAATTTTTTAGAAGCCAATCAATTTACAACTTTTGGATGTAACCATCATCGTTTTCATAAAATAACGATACAAATATTATATTTTATAAAAATGAACATTCTTGAGTGAGAAATTATAAGTGCAATTTTAAAACCAGTTGCTAATGTGTTTTGTTAGTTTAAAAATATGATTTTTAATAAGTTTATGTAATCCGCTTGTTTAATTGAATAACAAAGTGATCAAGTAAATATTCTTATACCTTTTACAATTAATTGTAGAACTGTTAGATTGCCTTTTAGAGTAAAGAAAACGTTTGAATTAATAGGCATTCTTGTGACACAATGCTTTTGTACGGCTTATGGATAGTTTCTTTGAAAATGAAAACGATGCGTGAAACAACAACGATGAAGGCCAAAACGTTTTGTTTGGTGGCAAATTTTCAGATGCCAACCAATTTACAACTTTTGGATGTAATTATCATCGTTTTCATAAAATAACGATATAAATTTTTATATTTTTTGAAAATGAATGTCATTGGACGAGACATGATAAGTGTAATTTCAAAATCTTTTGCTATTGTGTTTTTGGTTAGTTTATAAGATCTAATCCTCTAACCAGTTTACGTAATTTGTTTGTTTAATTGAACAACAAAGTGATCAAGTAAAAACTTCGTTTATAAATTTTACAATTAACTGGATAACTGTCGAATTACTTTTTAGAGTAAAGAAAAACGTTTGAATCAATAGGCATTTTTGTTATCTTTTGCAACGATACGTACTATGGAAGATTGACAACGACTAAAATGGATGCCGTTGGAAAGATGCTTTTTGGTAGAGACAAGTTGGTGGGAAGATATGTACTTGACAACCCATAACACATCTTAAAGACACCTAATGATTTAGAATTAGTCGTACCACATGTCATCTCTATTAATTTCTTTCTAAAAATTAATATTTAAAATATTGTTTAACGTACAGAATACTAATTAACGTAAGATTCGAACTCATAAACAAGTCTTTAAGTATTTAAACAAACTAAATCACCAATATTTTAATTCAAATATTTTTGTTATAATATAATATAAAGAGTTTAATAGAATATATTTATAAGAAGATGCAATTAAATATTGCGTTTTATTGCAAGTTTCACCAAAGAAGACGTTGGATCATTGTAGGTGATAGTGGTCACATCACACCCGTCGTATGCTTTGGGTTGCAATTTAAATTGATAATATCGACATCATCATCTTTTTTTTATCTATCTAATTTGGCAAAAAGTAATAGCCCATAACCCAAAGTGATTTCACACGAAACTCATCTCCAAGAAAACCAATATGAGAAGACATGTTTTGGCTTACTAGCAGGGATCCAAGATCAACAAAGGACCTAACTTGTATTTAGATAAAGTTGTCCCATCCGTTTTCCAATTGAGCTACACATCAAAGACGTTTATTTATCTATTATTTTACTTCTTTTTCATACGAACAGATTTAAATTTAAAATTCATTATAGCAATTTCTTCTTCTATACTTCATATTGTATTTTTATGCAATTAATAGTAATTTCTTGCATCATTTTATTTTAATTGAATAAACAGGATGACATGATTAAAATGATTATTTGATCAATAAAAACTCAATTCAACTTTTAGTATTACATAATAACATACTAACACGTGTAAAATGGATCAATATGTAGTTTCTTCGTTACGTCTGTGTAAATAACCCAATATTGGTAGATAGTTAATAACACCTTCACCATCTAGAGTAACAATGAGTCGAATAACACCATGTTTTGAATGTTGGTGAGGTCCCATTCGACTATCATGAAGTGTTTACTTGTAGATATTGGAACAAGAATCCTGTCATTCATCGTTAAGCATCTATGGCTAAATGGTTAAAGCATTTAACTCATAATTGGTGAATTCATAGGTAAAATTCCTATTGGATGCACGACAACGGGATCCTTCAATAAGTCTGGTGGAATTAGCTCTATATCGATTATAGGTTGACATGCGAATATATACTTCAAACTTGTCTAAATTACCTGTAACACCCATATTTCCAAAACCAACCCTACAAAAAAGTAACCAATTCTAAAGAAAAATGTGGAAGCGAGTCAATTGTTTTGAAATAACGAAATAGTCTTACACCGTAAGGTGTCATCAATCTAATTCAATAAAAACACCAAAACATAGGTTCATTGTTGTGAAAAGCCACAATCATTTCTTACTAAACAAAAACATAGTTTATAGCAATCCAATTAAAACAACTTTCTCAATCCATCTTCGAGAACTGAACTGGTGGAGCCTCGGAGCATCAAACCTTTTCCTTTCCCTTACGGGATGTGCCTGCAACTAAAAGAGTAAATAACAACGGGGTAAGCGAAACGCTTAGTGAGAACACACCTAAACCACCTACCATCATACATTTACAATCATGCAACACATAATCACGTACGTGCCATCTTTGCACTATCTTCCCTTTGGCTAAACCCAAAACAGGAAGAAACATCATATCCCCGAAGGGAACATATATCGTCATCGTAACATAACCACATGCACACAATTATAAGCATATAACAACAAGTAGCTAGGTAGTGAACTCACCTTAGTAATGATCACCCTTAGCTCACAACACGTACAACGATCACTTTGTGGCACCTAAACACATTACACATTCATACTCATCAAACAAAACCCCAAAATGGGTCCCTAACCATAACTCGACTCTCAAACGAGAAATGACTTAGTTATGCTCGACCAATTTCCACAAAACTTCCTAAAACATCTAGTTACATAAGCCCCTAGGGGTATATAAACCAAAGAACCCCAACCGGACCCGAAACGGAAAACTCAAAAATCTGGACAGCACAAACGGAGGGTCGAACCGAGGGTCACCACCCGCGGCTTGACCCGCCGATAAACGGAGGGTCATCCCGAGGGTCACCACCCGCGGATTGACCCGCGGATACCTGCAGACCCAAAATCTTCAGTCGCAGGATGCGACTGCAGATGGGATTTCAACCCCAAAACTCCAAATTCGACTGATACACGACCAAAACTTGTTTCTACACTATCGAGGGTCGATTTTCAACATTAAACCGTAAGCAATTCGACCCCGAATCATCGCAATTACACCAATTGGCAATTCAATGATCACCAATTTCAATCATCTAACACTACCCAACTCTATACCACACTTTAACCGCAATTAACATCAATTAAACATAAGCAAACGTAGGATTCTTACCTCGGTTACAAACACCGCGATTCCTACTTGAATTCCTCCGAAATAAACCACTTAGGTCTCCAATTGAACTTCCCAAAATCGCCTCCTCTTCTCTAGTGGTCGTTCTCTGGAAACTGACTAGGGAAATAGGGTTTGAGGCTGGCCCACTACCCTTATATACATACTTAAGTTATACCCCTTGAGTTGCGAAAATAACGCGTTAGCCCTCAAACTCTATAAAACACAATAAATCTACCGTTAGTTAACTTACATAACAACTTAGGATTAACTTGGAAATCGGGATGTTACATTACCAATAGGTGGTAGGAATGCTACCCATCAGTTTCTTCACAACTCTTGCCAACCACACATATATATATCCACATCAAGCATCTCCCTTCGACAATGGCATTTGGAGCACCAACACGCTCCCCTCCACACATGGGTGGATTTAAGAAGGTTTAAAGGGGTGCTTGTACATCCGCTTTACGATGCCAACACTGGAAAAAAATTAAGGTTCTTATAATGGATGTATATGTTGATGTGTGCTTCTTTAAGCTCTTTTTTATATCAGTTAAACAAAAGTGATTATAATCAATTGATTGTGTCATTACATGTGGAATTAGATTTTAGAACTTACAAGCTCAAATCTTTTTGACTCTTTTAATTTTCTGGAAAAGAAACCCACCAGAATGTTGAAGAAAACCATTTATATGTCATTTTTTTTAATAAAAATGTTATTTTAAAATCTAATTTTTGTTTAGTTATATATTATGCAAATTGTTTAATACATCTGCTTTTTTTAGATCCATCACTGACTCTGTATCAATCTTTCTCTTCCCATTCTTCACCTCTACAAACAAACATGAATGAAACACCACTTCAAAACTCAACCTCTTCATGCTCATCCACAGCTTACTCAAACACAATTTTAATTTTTGTATAAGAAACTGTAAAAGAAGTATGTGGAGAAGCAAATCATAGTCTGAAAGTTGGTGGGTGAGTGTCATCAAGTTGGGGGTCAAAATTATGGTCTAATCAACATTTTAACATTTGAAATAATAACCATACAACCAAATTTTCATTAAAAAAAATTATATCATGATAACTTTACATTGATTAGTGCAATTTTGTAATATATACTTAAAGCCTATCCCAAGGAACAGTGAAGCTTCATAGGGTCTTTCTGTTCAGGTACAGGTAATCCCCATCTTGTCATTAAAAATTCTTTTAGGACCCGTTTTAACAAATGAATTAATTAAGTCCAAATTTTGAAAAGATAAATAAACAAAGTGTAAACAAAATATCACTCTCACTCACTAAAATGAAATTTCTGTTAAAAAGGTAAATATTTAATAATATCATAAATCTTGAGTACAAACCCATACGAGTTTTTACACCCATTTACGGCCTTAAGTGACTTTTGAGAAAAATAAGATCTCCCAAGATTCTTGGCCTTAAAAAGCCTTCAATGAATGAGGCCTTATAACCACCACTCACCATCCTCTTCCAACCACCCAAATAATTCACTTAAAAAATAACTAAACAAAGAGGGGAAAAACACCATAGCAACTAATTTTTAATCCGTTCCTTCCAAATCAGCCTTTCTACATTTTATTTAAAACATTATTGCTTTTGTTTTGAAGTGTAGCTCAGTTAGTAAAAAAGTAGGATGACTTAAAGGCCGTTACTAGGTAAACACTTACCAATATTATTTACTTTATTGCTAATGATGTACAGCTCAGTTGGTAATGGATGGAAACAAATTTGTACAATATCAAATGGTCTTGGGTTACAAGCCTGGGCATTCGCATAGCCACAGGAATTAATGTCCCTCACATGTATTGGCAATCAATTGTGGGCAGGGTTGGGGTTGCCAGAATCAACCATTTTGCACAATAGTATTTACCTTATTGAATGAGTATGTCAGGGACCTAGAGTCTTACCTGGTGGGTGTGACAAAAGACTCTTACCTAGTAAGTAAGTATATTAGCTTTAATATGTTTATTAACAATATATTTTCATAGCCAAAGTTATCACACCCATAAAGTAAATGAAGATGAATTTCTTGTCGATAAATGCTTAATTAGTAGGAAAGTATCTTCAAACAGATTTTTTAAAACTTTTTCAAAAAAAGAAAGGTACAAAACTTAGGTAAAATTTTCTAAATTTAAAGAACTCTAAAAAAATGATTGATGAGGAGAGGAATGATCTTTTAATTAACCATAAAGATAACAATTCATGAAAATCAAATGTTTGGAGACTGAAAATCATGTGTTGAATATTGTAAATAAGAATCTATTGAAGTTAAATTTAACTTTTTCTTATAAGTTAAATTCAACTAGATCTAATGAAGCATGTCACAAGCCACCCCAAATCTAATTTCTAGCAGTTTGGTCACCACTCACTTCCCATGCTTCAAATCACAGCAACATATTATCATATCATTCATTCCTTCATTTTCACTCAATACATGCAACAAATTCATTCCTCTAAAACAAATACATAAAAATTAACTTCCCTCCAATATTCCATCTACTATCATTTTCAAAAAATGCTACCTTCCATTCTTCCATATAATCTCCACAAAATCACCTCTAAAATCCTCCTCCATCTCCACGAAAATCGTCGCTAACGATGGGACTTACCAAGAAAAAATCGATCCTCGTACTCATTTTCGTCCTAGTTGCCGCCTCCCTCTTCAGAGTCCTCCGAATCACCATCACCACATCCTACTTCCCACACGTCGTTTCACCTCCACATCTCGATCCAAACACAATCAAACCAACCCCCAACAAGATCCTTTCCGAGAAAGAACTCCGGTTTCTTTCCGACATTATCCTCCAAAAATCCCCGTGCAATCTTCTCGTTTTCGGGCTCGAAGATCAATACCTCAACTTACCCGCCATCAATAAAGGCGGTGCCACGTTTTTCCTCGAGGACAAACCCGAAAAGCTGATCAAAATGCAGGGGAATTCGAACGGGACACAAGTTTTTCGGATCCGGTACAAGACATCGGCTAAGGAAGCGTACAAGTTGCTAAAGCACGCGAGGACGCATCCGAGTTGCTCGTTGCGGTCCGGGATCGGGATGCGGGCGTCGAAGTGCAAGATCGCGTTAACGGGTATTCCGAAGGTAGTGGTGAGGACCAAGTGGGATGTTATTGTGGTGGATGGGCCCGGTGGGGACGGGCCCGAGTCACCCGGGAGAATGGGGGCGATATATATGGCGGGGGTTCTTGCGAGAGCGGGAAACGGAACCAATGTGGTGGTGCACGATGTCGATCGGACGATCGAGAAGTGGTTTTCGTGGGAGTTCTTGAGTGAGAAGAATTTGGTTTCTTCCAAAGGGAAGTTTTGGAATTTCAGGATAGATCAAAAAGAGAATTTGGGTTCTTCAAAGACATCTTGACTTGCACAAATTAAGTGTGAAAGTTAATAGTATTTTTTTCCTTAAAACTCTTTTTGGGTATTTTTTGATCATTTTCATGAATAGTTTAGTTAGGGGGGAGATCTTGTGTTTTGATTTTTTAAGAATATTTCTTGATGTTAAATGAAAATAATTAAATGTTGTATGATAACTTTTCTTTAATGACAAAATAACGACCCTAATAAAGTATGAAGAACTAGCAATTTAAATGCAAAACAAGTTAAATATATGGCCTCCAATCTTAAATTAAAGATTGACAATCCTCGTTTATACACCCAGATTTTCGTTTCATT